ACTGTGTCAAACTGTACTGTGTCAAACTGTGTCAAACTGTACTGTGTCAAACTGTGTCAAACTGTACTGCAGTTTGTGGTACCACGGTTTATCCTGGCATACTCCGCCCTAGCGTCTTCACCTCGTACACCCAGCTAAACAATAGATCCTAGTGTGCTAGGGCTGTGGAAAAAGACATGGGACAGGGAAAAAAATCGATCCCCGAGCATAATTATAAGTTTGTCCCATTTTACTGACACAGGCGTCGAGTTGGAAAATATTACTCCATTTCGGTCGCTGTACCTTTTGTCATTTGTTATGTACAAAAGGTCTTTTTTTTAAATAGGTTTTATGAGTGATGTAATATATATATTTATGTCTTCTGAGACTGCATCTTCAAGATCCTCTGAAGAAAGACTTGGTGACTGAGTTTCCTATCAGTCCTAACGAATTGCAGCACGACTTAAACTTACTTTAAGCAATCTGAAACCTTTTTTTTGTTCCCGACATGCCAGTGCTGAAAGTACTTGTACCAGATGGTTTATAGCAAAGTCTTGTGTTAAGTGCACTGCCAAGAGGAAATTTCTGGTCAAAAAGGATTAAAAAAACAATGATGATCATCATCAAATGTTAGACCTGTGACCAACATCAAAGACCACGATCCGCCATTCATTCCTTTTTGCGCAAGTTCTCAAGAAAGCTATACATTATTATCCTGACCTTTCCCTGTCACCCATCTAATGAGGCTTTGCAAGTAATTTGCTTTGGGCCTACCCCTGCCTCGTTAGCCTTCAATTTTTCCAGGGAGAGCAAGATATTCAAGACCCTTATTCTCTATTCAAGTGTCCTAGAGAGTGCAAGAAAAAATACAGTTACAGAAAGAAAATTGGAGCCACTCACCTTTCGTCTCGAACATCTTTTATCGATCGTTCAAGAGAAATTTTGTCGCTGGCAATCCTATTGAAAGCCTCTGCATCCATCAAGCTGTCAGCCAGCTTTTTCTCCTCTCCATGCAAAAGTACGGCAGCCCCTTGCTCGCCAGGGCCCGTGCGATACGGCTCCGACTGCTTGTATTTCTGGTAACGAATGTAACGTTTTGAGTAGTGCGCCAGGTGAGTGGTCGGAAAGTTCAGCAAGTCAAAGTAATGAGCTAAGATGACGATGATCAGTAGTACCAGAACGAAATAAATGATGGACGAACGCCTGCGACGAACTGAACGAGGTAACAACCCCATTGTTGCTGAGTGTGTACACTCGATACGTGGAGTCTACAAGTCTTTGGTTTCAGAAGAGTAAACTCATCCTCCGAATATCCAGCATCAAGACCAGCTCCTCTGTATTGCTCAGTAATCTAGAGGAAAGAAAAAATAGAAAAGACGGCTATAGAAAAAAAAAATACAGTTCAATTACAAAGTATACGTATTATCGCAGTTTGCTATAACTACAACTTTCAGCAAGACACTCTTCAGAATTTACAAGAAATTTAATAAGTCTTTCCTCTCATCTTAATCACACCCAAATTTTCCCTTTTTTTCTCTAATGTCGTTTCTTACATCCCCATCGACACAATTTCCATTACATGTAATCAGGAGTTGGACTTCCGACCCAGCTTGTCAGGGCTGACCTGGGCTGTGGCGATAGATACATCCCAGCAAAACGACCACGATACTCCATACAAATTCTCCCAACTCGGGAAACAAACTCGGGTCTCCTGCATGAGACGGCAAAGAGCCTAACCGCTACACCATAGACATCAGTCTCACATTCCTGACATTTGAAGCACGTACGAGTCGGCAAAATGAACAGACCGGCTCAAGGACATAAACGTGATGTCCATTGTACTGTGAAGTCTCAAGGACATAAACGTGATGTCCATTGTACTGTGAAGTCTCAAGGACATAAACGTGATGTCCATTGTACTGTGAAGTCTCAAGGA